CTGCTTTTTTTTGTTTTATATCATTGTAAAGTAAATATCTTTTGGTTTTAATAAATTATAAATGTGTATTTATTTAAATCAACCACCAGTTTAGACCTCCTATTAAGCCTTAATTTTACCTTCTTTTTTAATAAAATTATAGTGCTTACAGTACTTGTAAATGTACTTTTCGTTATAAGCAAAGGCAACTTGAGCTGCAACAATGAACTGGCAAATATTTTAATAATCAATTTATCATTTTAGTCCTTTCTCAAGCAAAAATGTCAAATAAAATCTGGTTCCAGCTTCTCCAAAGTGAAGGTTTGGTGCTTTTCTTTCTCATGTTCGATAGTAAACTGAATATCATTGTGTTTTAAACTGAGAGGCGATTTAGAAGACGCCACCTTACGCAACGATTAGTCAGTGAAGAAAGATTATAATATAACTTGTTTCAGGCATTTTCACCTCAAGCAAAGATACTAAACAATCTCTGGTTTCAGCCTCTTAAATGTGACGATTGGCTGCTTTTCTTTGACTTGTTGTAAATTAAGTACCTCCAAAGAGTTTTGGTAAGACAAAAGAAGCATTTTGAGGTCACTTTGGGGCTTTATTCACTTTTTTTGACGTTTAAACGATTAATTGAGAAAATAACTGAGCAGTAATGCAAATCATTAGCAGCGTCCCGTTGTTGTTCTGTTGTTCTGTGTACCACACTGAGTGCTCGTTTTTCCGCTCTCCCTGGAGCTGCTGTGAACAAACACAAACTCTTGTTCCTCCCTAAAAATTCTCAAGGGCCAAACTTCCTCTAGAAATCATTGACCACATCCTGGTAAATGGTTCCACAGGTTGTCATTTGGGGTTTTTGCAGCTTCAGCATTGTGCTTCCTATTACCCAGCCAGAGGAACCAGCACCTGCTGACTGCAGCTCAAACCATCCACACATGATCCCACTGTGCATCTTCAGCATTACATTACTAATTATTTACTGTAGGTATTCTGTGAAATCTCACAACATAAAGTTTCCCTACGTGGTTTAATCTTTTGTAAATAAAGGGCAGGCGAGGAGAGGGGTATATCAGCGCTCTTCGAAGGCTCAGACTGGCTGGAACTGGATTGTTTCTGGAGCTGTTTGTTTAGAAAGTAGGGTGAAGGCCTGCAGAACCTTGTGGGGAACACTAAACATGAAACAAAAGTCAACGTGGCCCTGCATACCAGGACTTATCAATAGGAACATATAAACAAAACGGCTTCATAGGTTGAAACGGCTGTTCTCTGCGGGGAAAACACGTCTTTAGGCAGTAATGGTAGGATATAATGAATATAAACAAAACAAACAACAGATAAATAAAGAAAAGGGCTACAACTAAGGTTATTTACATCTATTTATTGTTTAGTCTATAAACTAGTGAATGTTTGGCATTTTTTCTTGATAAATTACTGCAGAGAAGATTAATCTGAAATAAAAACAGTTGTCAGGAGAATATATCTAGAAAATATAACTAAAAGGAACAAACCTGAAGTATCTTTATCGATATATTTGACGGTTTGCAGATGCTTTGTTGTTCACAGATCTGCAACTGAAACTTTACCAAGAACTGATTCAGGACTTATTAGTCGAGAAATTTAAAGAAAATTAACTATGACTATGTTGATAATCAATAAATACATTTTAATTCACTGGTTCTTAAAATGTGAGTATTTGCAGGATGTCTTCATCTTGTTTGATAGTAAACTGAATATCTGAATGAAAAAGAACTAGAAAGTCAATCAACATTAAATTAATCTGCAACTATTTTGATGATTGATGAGTATTTCCCATCATTATTTAAGCAACATTCTCTGGTTGCTGCTTCTTAAAGGACCAGTGTGAAGGGTTTAGTGGCATCTAGAGCGGAGATTGCAACCAACTCACCTCACCCTCCTCTACAGGGCGTGTATGTCTCACAAAAACACCAAAGGCCCGTTATAGAGCGAACGTTTGGTTTGTCTGTTCAGGGCTTCTGTACAAACATGTCACTCCCTCTGTAATTAAAAACAGCTCCTTCGAAGGCGCCAACGTGAGCTCTAAGAAACTCTTTCTGATCATTGAATGGACTCAACGACTAATTGAGAAACTAATCCAACATTTTGGATTATTGGTTGGATAAAACAAGCAATCTGAACTAAAGCTGAAGCTGATGAGTTGCAACCCTACAGGCTGAGGAAGGTAAAATAAAGATTATAGAAGCCACATGTGTGTATTCTGCATGAGAGAATGGTTCAGTTGACACAAACTGGGAGGCAGAAGCAGAAACTTCAGAGGCTTGACAAACTGGATCTGCAGGCCAGAGCAGAGGACACCTGAATGCACCTGGATCACAGTCAGTCAACAGCAGAGTCTCTGCAGTCATAATGTGCACAAATACCAACCCACGACCTAAACCCGGTGTGTGAGCAGGACACAGTGGGGGCTGTTGTGTTGGAGTCTACCGAGTGAAGACATGTCAGTCGGAGCTCGGACTGATGCAACAGCGTTACTCGAGTTTCCAGCCGCCTCTGACTTCTGCAAGCAGCGACTGAAAAGAGGAACAAACAAGGAGCCGCAGCACCGACACACACACAAACACAACAAACATACCTTAGTGAGATTCCTCCAGAGACAACACAGCAACCTGTCAGCAATCAAATGTGCTCGTGTGGCATAGTAAGTGCACGTGGCATGCAGTCCTCCAATCACGAGCTGGGGCAGCTCCCTACGTAGACACCTGCGGAAAAACAACAAAAAACCTGACACTTTATTATTATTGTTATTGTTGTTGTTGTTATTGTTGTTGTTTACCGACTAAAATTAGTAAACACAGACGAGGCTTTGGTGAAAATGTTGGTTAGTTTACGGCTACTGTACTTTTGGTCCAATCCTGCGTCACCACGTATCTGACTGTGCGTGAGTGCGTAAGAGTGCGTGAGTGTGCGTCTGACGTCGCCCCCCTTAGTAACCCTCGGCGGCGTCTCCAGGAGAGAAGGCAACAAGATGGTGAGTTACGTTTGTCCGTTAAATGTGAAGCAGCGAGCTCGAACTGAGAATGTGTTCGCACCGAGTAGCGCCCACTGGAGTACGGCTGCGCTTCAGAGGCCGCCGCTGTCCGCAACGAGCCGAATATCAACATCAAAGAGTGAATGTGGAGCTGCTCAGTTATCAGGGGAGATTAGCTTAGCACGTTAGCCTCTTTTTTTATTTTTTGTTTATTTATTTATTTTAATCTGCCACAGTTTATTGTGCGGTGCGGTGCGGGATCGAGCCCCGCGTTCACACTAACCAGCCCGCAGGATTAAAAAAAAAAATAAATAAATAAACTAAAAGATGATGTGAGAAAACAGCTCAAAGGGCCTCAGACACTGCTGGAGTAATGCTCAGGCCTCTCTCTCTGTCTCTCTCTCT